GAGAATATAGAAACTATAAGCGAGATTGAAATGTTTTTAGGGTTTAAAAAACATGTAACACAGTATGGTGATGTAGTGATTCTTATAAATGGAATTTCCTACAGTATGGAAATGCTGTAGGACTTGTGCCATTGAAACATCAAAGCAAAACCTCTGCTGATTCAGCTCATAAAAATCATTGATGCATAAAATCCAACAATAATTGTCAAGAGAGAAAAGGGGAAGAAGGAGGGAGGGTTGGGAGAGCAGAGGAAGGAGAAAAGGCAACCCAACCCCATAAATGCACACAAGACAGTTTAACTCTTCCATGAAGCATTTGCACCCTTGTGTGGGGGAGAAAAAAAGAAAAAAGTGGATGTGGAAAAAATTCTGTGGGAGCTGGAGGGAGATGGAAATAAGAAAATCCATCTCTTTTCCACATTATCTATCTTGGATGGAAGCTTCTGGTCCAGCCAGCAGCTTGGGAGCGTCTTCATTTACAATATTCCTTCCTGAAATCTGAAAGCAAATGGAAAACGGGGTCAGCACCTGGAGAGAGATTTAAAACAATTCAAAGAAACACAAAAATATGGATTTTTATAGGGTGAGCATTTGCAGTCACCCAGAACCCTGATATCAAAAATCTCCCCCAGTGAGAGAGATTGAGGGTAAGTTATTGCCCAGAGCCACCCTGCAGGAGAAAATTCCAGAATTCCATCAGGGACAGCTCCTGGGCTCTCCATCCCCATCTTGGGGTCATTTCAGCCCCTTTTATTAAATCCTCATTGCCCTGGGGCGAGTCATGGAATCCCAGGGCTGATCACAAGGAAAATTCCAATTTGTGCCGTGCCCAAAGCTTTTAAAAGCCAAATCTTGTGGAAAGCAAGAAAAATCCCAAATCATGCCATGGCCAAGGCTTTTAAAAGCCAAATCTTGTGGAAAGCAAGAAAAATCCCAAATCATGCCATGGCCAAGGCTTTTAAAAGCCAAATCTTGTGGAAATCAAGAAAATTTCCAATTTGTGTCATGGCCAAAGCTTTTAAAAGCCAAATCACTGCTTGCATCTTGTGGCTCCATGATGAAAGGATGGGAATGCAGCTGCCTTCTCATTCCTGCTTTTGCCATGAGGTTTCTCATTCCCTTTTGGCCATGGCTTGGTCACTCACTGATGGGCTGTTCCCATCACAACAGCCAGCAATTAAAGGGAAGAAAGTGATGATTACCTTTGTCTAAATCAATGTTCTTTGCTGGGCAGCTTCTGGCTTGCTCAGCCTTCTCCTTCAGGATGTTGTTTTTGTAATCTGTGCAAGGGAGGAGCAGAATTCACACAGAGTATTAAAATAAATCAAGATTTGATGAGCAACACAGAGGTGATCAGCCCTTCCTCGCTGTGCTCTGGGCCTGGCACCTGTGATTTCTAGGAATTATTTGTGCAGTTACTCAGCAGGAAAACAGCTCTGAGCTCATTTTAGCCCCTGGCATGAATTGGTTGTGCAAACTTCAGCTCACAGATCTTTCCAGCTCTGGATTGTCTCCTCAAAGCTCACCTGGAGATGACTGAGTTGTTGCTATTATTATTATTATTATTATTATTATTATTATTATTATTATTATTATTATTATTATTATTATTATTATTATTATTTAATATATTGATATATACTATAATAAACTATAATATAGTATTAAAAACATTAAAATCAACATAATCGTATAATATAGATTAATATATAATATATAAATATATATAATATATAAATATATATTATTATTATTATTATTATTATTATATTAAAAAATGCTAGATTTTTGCAACCCACCCCCTGCAATTCCTTTCTTTACTTCCAATTTTTTTGTTTGCTGGGGCCTTTACAGCAATTCTTGGGTTTGTCAGCTTTTTCTTTAAAGGTTCTGCCTTTATTGGGGAACAGAAGGTGGAGAAAATGAACTCAGCTAACTCAGGACTTCTCCTTACCCAATTTTGGTCAAATAAAGTCCATCCCCACTTTCAGAGGGTAAAGAATGGCTTAAATCACTTCCAATATCCAAAAGCCATTGGAAATTTCAGATTTCCAGGGATTCTGACCTGGTTTGGTGCCAGGGATACCTACCCAGCCTGATGTCTTCACTTTTGTGTGGGGTCAGATCTGTTGTGTCCACTGTGAATTCTTTAAGGTTCACATCCTTCCTGAAAAGGGAATAAAGGGAATAAAGGTGGAAAATGATATTGTCTCATTTTTTAATATCTGGCTCCTTTCACATTTTCCCTCTTAGCTTTTTTAATTCTTTACAGAATTTATTTAATTTTAAATTTTTTCCCCACTTGTTTGTCCTGATCTTAGAACAATGGGCAGCCAATCCTGGAATTTCTTTTTTTTTCCACTTTAATCCCATAAAATAGAGTCTGGAGGAGCCCAGCTCCATGATCTTGGCCCCATTTCCCCCCAGATCTGTGCATTATTCCTTTCCCACCAGCTCCCAAGGACATCTCACAGAAACTTCACCCCTCAATCAGATCCCAAAGAGCAACAAGAGGAAATCCAATTACAAATCAGCCCCACAATTTTTTCCTTTTACTTCCTCCTCCTAACCACATTTCCAGCTGGTTTAGGCTCTTAGCTGAGGAGGAAATTTAAATTATTTCACTTGAATGCATTCTAAGCCTAATTAATAATATTAATAATATTTAAATTTATTATACTTACTCTCCATATTTCTTCACGTTGTACTCATAACCTGAGCAGGAGGAAAAAGCAGAATGAGCACTCACAGCCAGTCCAGGCCCATTCCTGGGGCTGGTGTTTTTGAGTGGCACCAAAAACCAGTTCTGTGGGGTTTCCAAGCCCAACAACTTCACAAAATCAAAACCTGGACATTTTTAAACCACACCAGCCCTGCAAATCCTGGACACCTGAGCTCCCAAGAGATAAATCCCATTTGTGAAGGGCTTTTTTCTCCCTTCTGCAGGAGGTGATGACCCTGGAGGTTTTTTCAAACCCCAAAAATTCCATGAAATCAAGGCCTGGTATTTTTACACCACATCAGACCTGCAAATCCTGGACGCCTGAGTTCCCAAGGGATAAATCCCACTTGTGAAAGGCTTTTCTTCTCCCTTCCATGGAGCAAATCAGGAGTGGGGCTCAGCCAAAGCCTGGATGTGATGACCCTGGAGGTCTTTTCCAACCCAAACTCCACGGCATCCAGGCCTGGACATTTCTACACCAAATCAGCCCTGCAAATCCTGGACACCTGAGTTCCCAAGGGATAAATCCCACTTGTGAAGGGCTTTGCTTCTCTTCTGTGGAGCAACTAAAAGGATAATGAGTGGGATTCAGCAAAAGCCTGGAGGTGACGAGGTTGGAGGTCTTTCCCAACCCAAACTCCATGAAATCAAGGCCTGGACATTTTTACACCACACCAGCCCTGCAAATCCTCCCACTGGGCAAGGACCAGGACACCTGAGTTCCCAAAGGATAAATCCCATTTGTGAAGGGTTTTTCTTCTCCCTTCTGTGGAGCAACTCAGCAAATCATGAGTGGGATTCAGCCAAAGCCTGCATTGATGACCCTGGAGGTCTTTTCCAACCCAAACAACTCCATAAAATCAAACCTGGACATTTTTACCCCAGACCAGCCTTTAAATCCTCCCCCTGGGCAGGTTCCTGCTGTTCCAGAGGGGCTCCCTGCTCCTTGCAGGAATTATCCCGGGATTTCCCTGGGCTCACCTCTGTGCCGGCGCCTGCGGGTGACGAGTGCCACGATGATGAGGAGGACGAGGAAGAGCAGCAGGGTGGCCAGGACGTAGCCCAGCTGCTGGAAGAAGTGCATCCTGCCCTCGGGGATGATGACATTGATGACATTGTGGCCCCTGACCACGTTGGGATCTGAGGGAAGGAGAACTGGGAGTGAGGTCACCGGTGGGAATTCCAAATTGCAAGAATTAATCAGTGCCTAAATTATGAATTATCACAATTCCCAGGGTTTTAAAATAGGATCCCTTCCCTGAGACGAGTGATTTCTGGCCATCAGAGTGCTCTTGCAAAGGGAATTTCAGACAAAAACCTTCCAGAGAGTCCCACAATGCTCAGGGAGGAATTCTGAATTGCAAGAATTAATCAGGGCCTAAATTAATATTTATTATAATTCCCAGTGCCTAAATTATGATTTATCACACTTCCCAGGGTTTAACAACATCACTTCCCTGGGGTCAGTGATCCCCGACCATCAGAGTGTTCTTGCAAAGAGAATTCCAGAGAAAAACCAACCCCAAACCTTCCAGAGGGTCCCACAATGCTCAGGGAGGAATTCTGAACTGCAAGAATTAATCAGTGCCTAAATTATGATTTATCACAATTCCCAGGTGCCTAAATTATGATTTATTAAAATTCCCAGGGTTTAAGAGGATCCCTGGCCATCAGAGTGTTCTTGCAGGGGGGAATTTCAGCCCCAAACCTTTCCAGAAGGTTGCACAATGCCAGGTGGGAACGCTCAGGGAGAAATTCTGAATTGCAAGAATTAATCAGTGCCTAAATTACGATTTATCACAATTCCCAGGGTTTCAGGATCCCAAGTGTTCTTGCAGGGGGGAATTTCAGCCCCAAACCTTCCAGAAGGTCCCAAAATGCTGCTCTGGGGCCCTTTCAACACAAACTCAAACTGCTCTGTCTCCAGCCAGCAGCCCCTCCTTGACAAGGGCTGTAATTTATGGAGTGGGAAGAGTTTTCAGAGCCAAAAAAATGAGCTTCCTTTGAAATGAAATAAAATCAATAAAACAAATAAACCCCCCCCCAAAAAAAAGCAGAGGAAAGCCAAGATTCCATTCCTTTGGAGGGCGCAGCAGGATTTCTGCTCCGCAGCACAGGAAAGGGGAGCTCGGAACTTTTATGTGGAACATTTTTTCTTTTGTAGATCTCAAATAAATAGGTCAATGTTTTACACATGTAAAGAGGAAGTGACTTCTCTGCTTGCAGCAGTCGGAGGAATGGACAAAGGCATGGATGGAATCCCACAGGGCTCTGCTGGGGGAGAGGGATTTTTCCTTCAAAACTGAGCTGAAGAGATTCCCAATACATGGAATTTTCACAGAGAACCAGGCAAGAACAGGATGGAATTCTCACTATTCCCCGGAGGAAATAAGGGCAAAAATGGGGGAAATAAAATCTCAAAAATACCCCAAAAGCCACAGCACCCTTCACAGATGTGTCCTGACTCTTCTGGCAGCGCTGGGACTGCTCCAGGTTTTTGGGCAGTTTGTTTCCAATGTTTAAAAACACCAACCCAGCGAAAATCAAATTAAATCAAGCAAGAGTGGGTGGAAATAAACACTCTGAAACCAGAGCTGATGGTTTGCCAATGCCAACAGCACTCCTAGAAAATCAAAAAGCAACATGGAAATCAAAAATCAACAGAGCAGCGCGCTCTGTTTTTGTGGCCCAGTGCTCCACTCCAGCAGAACTTTGATTTTACACTTGATTTCCAGTTCTCCCTGCATACACAGCTGGAAAAACCATGGAATTTCCACCCTGCCAAGCTGAAAAACAACAATTCAAACCGAGAAAGCCACTTGCAAAGCTGCAAACAGCACATGTGACAGCTCTGCCCTGTCCCACCCCTGGCTCACTATTGCTGCCGTAATGAGATGGTGCCACAGCAAACGCAGGGATTTCTATTCCTGGGTTTTTGCTTTCCCACAGAGCTTGGGTTTAAACTTCAGGCAAAACTGAGGAGAACACTGCAAAAACAAAGAGTGGAAACTGAGATTTAATAATTTTGGGCAATGGGATGTGTCCCATTTGATAACTGGGGAATCTGCCCTGGAAACAAAATCTGGCTTCCATCTGTGGATAAGCTCAAGGGCTGTGTGCAGGAACTCTGATATTTGGATGCTCTGGTCTCCAGCCATGCCTCTCAGCACTGCCTGGATTTTCTGGACACCAACTTTAGCCCCAGGGGAAGAGGTTATGTCTCTATGACTTGAGAAAGCCAATTTCTTACAGGAGAATAAACCTATTTAAAAATAAACCTATTTAAAAATGTATGAAATTAATCAAAATTCTATATTATACAGCCGATAAATATTAAAACACAATGAATATTTGAAAGTGTTAATAAGGAATTATACCCAAAAGACTTTAAAAAAAAATATATTAAACTTGGGGGTTTTGTTTTCTTTTTCTGCCTGAACGAAGTGTGATGGTTTTGAGTTTGGACAGGCTGACAGATGATAGCTCAGTGCAGTGGAAAATATGAAAATTGGTTTATGGCACACATACACACACAAAAAAAAAATAGAAAAGCTGAAGGGTGGAGGAAAGAAAATTCCTGGTGGTTGATTCTGCATGGTCTGGCACCTTGCACAGCCCAAACAACCGTGCAAAGGGAGAGAAGGAGAAAAACTGAAAAACTCTGCTGGGAAGAGTTTGGGAGAGTAAAGGCAGGGCTGCATCAACCCCCTGCCCACACCTCCATATAAGCATGGGGGAAAGAGAGGCAATAAAAAGGGAAAAAATATAAAAAAATAAAAATACAAAATATAAAAATACAATCTATAAAAATACAAACCAAAGCCTGTTTGCCTCGGGGCCTGCCAGCAGTGCAGAACTGCCCTGGGGCACTAAGGAAAGGTGATGGGAGAGAAAAGCAAAATAAATCCTGTGGCAACCCTGGGTTAAAAGCTCCACATTGCCTGGTAATGAAGAAGCTGTGACTCTCCTGAGCTGTGGCTGGCTGCTTGCTCTTGGAAATCTCACAGCCTCTGATGTTTATCTGAGCAAAAAATCCTTCTTAGTACAATTGTGGTCCCATTCTGCTGGAACCCTGGGTGTTGAGAAATTCAAACTTTCTGTTCAGACACACTCAGAACCTCTGGAGAGCACAGCATTGACCTGGGGCTGTGGAGAAGGGTTCAAAAGTGGGATTATAGCACTGGAATTGTGGGTGTGGAGTTGGTTAGAAACGTGTAATATCACGGAGAGGAAAACTGAGAGTTTGGGGGTTTAGAATATAGAAATAAATATGAAGCAAGATGGAGGATTTAGGGTGGAGGCAGGTTGTTCTTCTTTACCTTCTTCTTCCTTCTTCTCCACGGGTTTGGGTGGTTTTGTGTAATTGGGCAGAAAAGGGATTAGTTATTGGGTTAGAAGTGGGATTAGTTATTGGGTTAGAAGTGGGATTAGTTATTGGGTTAAAAGTGAAACTAATTTAGGTGTCATTTCTTAATTGGACAGTTTAGCCTTAAAAGGCCTTGTAAGAAGAGATAGTGCCCATTTTGTGCCTTGTTAGTGAAATACTGGAGAACTCATGGTTGGGAGGCCATAACACAGATAAGAAATAATAAAACACCTGAGTCTGAACATGAACCATGGTCTCAAATGCCTTCAATCCCAACCTCAACAGAGGCAGGAAAAGCAAGTTGAGAACCCACAGGATGCCTTTAAATTAATGTGATAACTGTAACAGTCCCCATCTCTACAGGGACAGCAGGGACCACTCACCTGCAGGGACCTGCAGGGACCGTGATCTCCACCTTCAGTTCCCATCTCTACAGGGACATCACTCACCTGCAGCACGGACTGTGGTGTTCACCACGTCCAGTGTCCAACTCTACAAGAACACCAGAGGCCACTCACCTGGAGAAGGGACCATGCTGTGCCTGGTGATGTTCACCACGTTTAGTTCCCATCTCTACAGGAACACCACTCACCTGCAGCAGGGACCTGAGGGGACCATTCACCTGCAGGGACCATGATGTTCTCCACCCTCAGTTCCCTTCTCTACAGGAACACCAGAAGCTACAGGAACACCACTCACCTGCAGCAGGGACCTGATGGGACCATTCACCTGCAAGGACCTGCAGGGACCATGATGTTCTCCACCTTCAGCTCCCATCTCTACAGGAACACCACTCACCTGCAGCAGGGACCTGCAGGGACCATGATGTTCTCCACCTTCAGTTCCCATCTCTACAGGAGCACCAGAAGCTACAGGAACACCACTCATGTGCAAGGACCTGATGGGACCACTCACCTGCAGGGACCGTGATGTTCTCCACCTTCAGTTCCCATCTCTACAGAAACACCACTCACCTGCAGCAGGGCCCTGATGGGACCATTCACCTGCAGGGACCTGCAGGGACCGTGATGTTCTCCACCTTCAGTTCCCATCTCTACAGGAACACCAGAAGCTACAGGAACACCACTCACCTGCAGCAGGCACCGTGACGTTGACCCCCCTGCTGTCCCTCTGCGGCTCGGTGACGGCCAGGTGGTAGATCCTGCGCTCGTGCAGCCCGCAGTAGTGGTGGTGCAGGTGGCACGAGTAGGTGCCCTCGTCGGCGCTCTCCAGGCGCGAGATGCGCAGCGAGAAGTCCCCGAGGCCGAAGGCTCCGCGGCTCACGTTCATCTTCTGCCTCAGGAACTGGGGCCCGTAGGAGCGGCGCTCGCCGGACGCGTACAGATCCACCAGGCGGTCGGCGCGGTCCTGGGGCACGCCCGGGGGCTGCCGGTCCCAGTGCACCACCTGCTGCTCCTCCTCGCTGTGCCGCTCCGTCCAGATGTGCTGGCGGTTCACGCACGGCAGCGTCACCGTGCTGCCCTCCGGGGCCACCAGCACCGGCTTCTCGCCGTCCCAGTACTCGCTGGGCTCCTCGTCTGTGGGGAACACAGCTTGGAATGGGTTTGCTCCACCAGTTTTGTCCCACCCATCCTGGTTATCCCACATAATTAAGTTTTCCTCCTGTGATGTTTTGTGTAGGTTGACCTAGAACAGAGGCTGGGCAGAGTTACAGAATAAAGTAGAGATTTATTACAAGGATTTCCTCCTTGGGCAGCACAAGAGCGTGGCCTCCTCACCTGCTGGAGAACACGACTTGGAATGGGTCTGCTCCACCAGTTTTGCCCCACTTGTCCTTTTTTCCCCCCACAAAATCTACTTAAGTTTCCTTCCTGTGATGCTTTGTGAAGGCTGACCTAGACAGATTTGAAAAAGAACAGACTAGACAGATTTAAAGAATAAAGCAGAGATTTATGAAAAGGATCTTCCCCATGGAGCCACCTCGGGCAGCACAAGAGCCTGGCCTCCTCATCTGGTGAGGAACACAACCTTAAAATGGGTTTGCTTCACTACAGGGAAAAAGGAGGAAAAATCTGGGAGATGGGGAGAGGAAAACACACTTCAACCTGAGCAGCAGCTTCTTGGAAATATTTGGAGGGATGCCTTCTGAAAGCTGGTCTAGAACAGAGACTGGACAGAGTTACAGAATAAAGCAGGGATTTATGAAAAGGATCTCCTCGATGGATCCACCTTGGGCAGCACAAGAGCCCGGCCAGGGCTGCACCCAAGATGAACCAAAATGGTCCCAAAATGAACCAAAATGGTCCCAAGAAATGGATCATCAGTCACAAAATTATAAGTTTTAGTCCATTTGCATCTTGGAGTGAATTGTCCCATTCCAGCTTTAGCCCCTGCAGTCCCATCCCTGTTTTTCTCTCTCCGGCCCACGGGGTTTGTGCTCCTGGGCTGAGATTTGGATCATTTGTCCTTGGTGCCCAGCTGGAGCAGGAATTGTTTTGTGTCCCTGCTCTGTGCACAGAGCTCACCATCCCATAATGTGAAGCCCAGACCCACACACTAAAGCAGCACAGAATGTGAAAAATAAAAAAGCCAAAACCTGAGGCACCACCCAGGTTTCCTTTTCTTGGCAAAAATCAGCAACATTTTAGGCCAATTTGCTGTTGCATGCGTGGACGCAGGCAATGCAAAATTCCCACTCAACACAGAGTGTCAAGGACAGCCAGAGACACCTGAGATTGCTCCCACACCCTGGAATTCTGAATTCCAAGTGTCAAGGACTCCCAGAGACACCTGAGATTGCTCTCATGAAATCCTAAAACTCCCCAAGATTGGAATCCTATAACACACCCCCTCCCAAAATCTTAAAAGTGTCACATGGCACAGCCTGAACATGCACTAACATTAACACCCCTGGCCTTTTCACATTTATTTCAGCTATTAGTAAAAAAAAACTTTTATCCTCTAACATCCTTGGCCAATTCATGAGCCAAGGCCACTTTCTCCTCCTCCTAACTCAGAGTTAATCTCCTGCTTCAGAGAGCAGGAAGCAAATTCCCTCCACAGGCTAAGAATGGAACGAGGATCTTCATCCCAATCCTCTGAGCAGGAAATGCTTTCCTACCCACAAAGGCCCTAATTACTGGAGGAGCTGCTCTGATTTTGGCTCTTGAAAAAGGAATAACAGAGGAAGCCAGAGCACAGAGGAGCAGCTCGGGGCTCTCAGGGCGTTTTTATTGCAGCAGAGGAGATGCACTCCCAGCCCAGCAGCTCCACTGGTGTCACCCAGAGGTTTAAATGGATTTTTCAGGGGTGCCTGTGTGGGTGGCTGGGACTCCCTGCAGCTGCCAACAGCTGGATGTTAGAGCTGGGCTTAAGGTGGGGTGGGGTTTAAGTACAGAATGGATAGGATAAGCTTAGCAGGAAGAGAACAGGCTGGTGCTTGTGGCTGGGATGAGGGTGGGGATTGTCACCAGGGTGGGATTGTCACCAGGGTGGGACTGTCACCAGGGTGGGACTGTCACTAGGAGCGGAATTGTCACCAGGGATGTGCTGCTGCTACAGCAGGGACAGTTTGGTAATGACCAAGAGCAAACACTGGGCTGAGCAGGCCAAGGAAAATGAGATTTTTGTAAATAAACCCTCTGAAAACCAGCAAAGCAGGCAGCAAACAGCCCAGGGAGCACCAGGTTTTCCTGCTGCTGCTTCCCAAGCCTCCTGTGGCACCTGTGAAACCAGAGCTGTCCCCACACCCACCTCTCTTGGCGATGACCAGCTGGACTTTCACAGTCTCGTACAAGTGGCAGTAGTGGTGGTGAAGGTTGCAGGAATAGGTGCCTGCATCACTCTCTGCCACACCTGGAGAGCAGGGAAAAGAGGGGAATTCAGCGGTTTATACTGAGACAATGATGATTTGTGTCATTTGCAGAGAGAGAAATTCAGGGATGGGGACTCCCCCATCTCCCTGGGCAGTTCCTTCCAAACCCTAAAATTCCCCCTGAGAATTCAACTTATTAACCTGGTACCCACAGAATTCACAGAATGACCAGGTTGGAAGGGACCTTAGAGACCATCAAGTCCAACCCATGCCCTAACACCTCAATAAAACCACAAACCATTTATCAAAAACATGCTGCGAACCACCCATTCCCACCAAAACCAGTGCACTGAGATTGCTCCCAAACCCTGAATTCCAAATGTCAAGGACAGCCAGAAACACCTAAAATTGCTCCCAGACCAGCGATGGGGTCTCCTCCACCTCCCTGGGCAGTTCCAAACCCTAAAATTCCTCCTGAGAATTTGACTTTTTAACCTGATATTCACAGAATTCACAGAATGACCCAGTTGGAAAAGACATTAGAGACCATCAAGCCCAACCCATGCCCTAACACCTCAATCACCTGTTTATCAAAAACCATCCTGTGAACCACCCATTCCCACCAAAACCCATCGAAAGGGGGGCGAAAAACCCTCGCCACCTTTGATCACCAGCGAGAAATTCCCATCTGCAAAGGCATTCTCGGGCATGAGGATCCTGCCCTGGTTGTAGGAGCTGTAGACACGCTGGTCCCCAGCCGAGTACATGTCGCAGAGCCTCTCCATCCTGCCGTCCCCAAAGTAGGAGCTGAGCAGGTCCCAGTGCACCACGCGCTGCCGGTCGTTCAGGCGGTCCTGGGTCCACACCATGCGGTGGCTCTTGCAGGGCAGCACGGCCTGCGAGCCCAGGGCTGCGCTGATGTTCAGCACCGACACCACCACGCTGCTGGAGGGGTTGGAGGCGTCAGCTGGGACTGGGAAAAACAGCAGGAAAATGAGTTGTGGGGTGATGGAGTTAATGGGGTGGGAAGGAGCTGCTGGAATTTCCGCGCGGTTTTTGATTCGGCATGGAGCGATGTCATGGAGAATCCTGAGCTGGAAGGGACCCACAGAATCTCTGATCCGATCTTATCCCTGCACAGGAACCCCAACAACCCCACTCTGTGCATCCCTGAGAGTGCCATCCTGGAGTTCTTGGAGTTAATGGGGTGGGAAGGAGCTGCTGGAATCTCTGCGCGGTTTTTGATTCGGTTTCAAGACCAGCATGGGGCACTGCCATGGAGAATCCTGAGCTGGAAGGGACCAAGAAATCCCTGATCCAATCCTATCCCTGCACAGGAACCCCAACAATCCCACCCTGTGCATCCCGGGAGGGATCCAACTGCTCCTGGAGAAGCCTGGGCAGTGCCCCCTCAGGGCGAAGGACCTTTCCCTAATAAATAAAACTTTATCAGACAGATTTCATTCATGTCTTTTATCAGCATTGCACACTCGAGCTGTCCTACCCACCCTTCCTAATCCTGAGCCCAAATTTAATCCAGGTTTAGGGACACCAGTGCATGGGATGGATAATGCATGGAATTTAGGAATGAAAGCCATGGAATCAGTGCCCTCTCTCTCCTCTCATAATCACAAAACCTGGCAGATTTCCAGAGATGCCACTCACCTGAATATGAGCACACAGAACCTGCAAAAAGCAGAAAATAAAGAATGTCACTGACGACAAAATGATAAAAAAGCCACAAACACACTCCAAGCCAGCAGCCTCTGATATTGCTCCACCTATTTCCCCTTCCTTGCTAATGCTGATGTTTACATCTGGATGTTTACATCCATTTCCCACTCCAGCCACACTCTTTGTCTGCACAGTTAATTAATTCTGTGTCACAGTTAATTAATTCTGGGATGCTGTGGACGCAGCAGCTCCCTCCAACCCACACAACTCTGATCCACACAGGAGGAACTCTGCCAGAGATTATCCAATTCCTCTGATTCTGAGGGACTTTGCCAGAATTGAACCAATTCCTCTGATTCTGCATTTCTCTGCTCCAGCCCCTCCTGCTCCTCGTGTGGGAAGGGTCCAGAAGGTCTGCTGGCATCAGGATTTGGATATTCCCAACACAACACCACCATTCATCTCCCCACCCAGCCAAAGCCATCAAAAATCACAGGAGGTTTTGTCCTGCTAATGTCAGAGGCACAAAGTCCTCCAGACAAAGACTGTATTTTTATTTTATTTTTTTTTCAGCCCCGGAATTTATTAATTTCAAATTCAACTCCAGACTGGGGGTATTTTAACACACCCCCAAGTGCTGAGAATTAATTTTATTTTTCCTCTTTTTCTATCACAAAGCACCGGGCAGCAGAGAACAAAAAAGGANGTCCAGATGTGCTGGCGGTTCACGCACGGCAGCGTCACCGTGCTGCCCTCCGGGGCCACCAGCACCGGCTTCTCGCCGTCCCAGTACTCGCTGGGCTCCTCGTCTGTGGGGAACACAGCTTGGAATGGCTTTGCTCCACCAGTTTTGTCCCACCCATCCTGGTTTTTCCCACATAATTAAGTTTTCCTCCTGTGATGTTTTGTGTAGGTTGACCTAGAACAGAGGCTGGGCAGAGTTACAGAATAAAGTAGAGATTTATTACAAGGATTTCCTCCTCGGGCAGCACAAGAGCGTGGCCTCCTCACCTGCTGGAGAACACAATTTGGAATGGGTTCTCTCCACCAGTTTTGCCCCACTTGTCCTTTTTTCCCCCCACAAAATCTACTTAAGTTTCCTTCCTGTGATGCTTTGTGAAGGCTGACCTAGACAGATTTGAAAAAGAACAGACTAGACAGATTTAAAGAATAAAGCAGAGATTTATGAAAAGGATCTTCTCCATGGAGCCACCTTGGGCAACACAAGAGCCTGGCCTCCTCATCTGGTGAGGAACACAACCTTAAAATGGGTTTGCTTCACTACAGAGAAAAAGAAGGAAAAATCTGGGAGATGGGGAGAGGAAAACACACTTCAACCTGAGCAGCAGCTTCTTGGAAATATTTGGAGGGATGCCTTCTGAAAGCTGGTCTAGAACAGAGACTGGACAGAGTTAAAGAATAAAACAGGGATTTATGAAAAGGATCTCCTTGATGGATCCACCTTGGGCAGCACAAGAGCCCGGCCAGGGCTGCACCCAAGATGAACCAAAATGGTCCCAAGAAATGGATGATTGGTCACAAAATTATAAGTTCCGCTCCATTTGCATCTTGGAGTGAATTGTCCCATTCCAGCTTTAGCCCCTGCAGTCCCATCCCTGTTTTTCTCTCTCCGGCCCACGGGGTTTGTGCTCCTGGGCTGAGATTTGGATCATTTGTCCTTGGTGCCCAGCTGGAGCAGGAATTGTTTTGTCTCCCTGCTCTGTGCACAGAGCTCACCATCCCATAATGTGAAGCCCAGACCCACACACTAAAGCAGCACAGAATGTGAAAAATAAAAAAGCCAAAACCTGAGGCACGACCGAGGTTTCTTTTCTTGGCAAAAATCAGCAACATTTTAGGCCAATTTGCTGTTGCATGCGTGGACACAGGCAATGCAAAATTCCCACTCAACACAGAGTGTCAAGGACAGCCAGAGACACCTGAGATTGCTCCCACACCCTGGAATTCTGAATTCCAAGTGTCAAGGACTCCCAGAGACACCTG